CTATCCAGCTGACTCCAACCGAGTATTTCTGTGTTAGAAGTGCGTTCGCAATGTCTAATGCTGAGTCAAGGGTCTCGTAGTGATGGGGGATTTGGGGGCAGATGTGTAGAATATTGACTAATGTTGGACTGCTGGCCTTGCTTGGTTAAAATCTGGTTATGTGATGCGGTTGCTGCGTCTTCTAATCCTCCTTCTCCTTATCCTCCTCTTCTTCTTCTTCTTCCTCTTCTTCTTCTTTTTCTTCTGCTGCTTCTTGTTCTTGTTGTTCTTCTTCTTTTTCTTCTCCTTCTTCCTTCTTCTTCTTCTTCTTCTTCTTCTTCTTCTTCTTCTGCTTCTTCTCTTCTTCTTCTTCTTTTTTCTTCTTCTTCTTCTTACTTCTTCTTCTTCTTCTTTCTTCTCTTCTTCTTCTTCTTCTTCTTCTTCTTCTTCTTCTTCTTCTTCTTCTTCTTCTTTCTTCTTCTTCTTCTTCTTCTTCTTCTTCTTCTTCTTCTTCTTCTGCTTCTTCTTCTTCTTTCTGCGACTACTACTACTACTGCTGCTCTGCTGCGTCTGTTTCCTCTTTTTTTCTTTTTCTTCTTTTTCTTCCTCTTCTGCTTTTTAACTTATTTTTTTTTTTTTTTAAACATATCAGATCATGACAAGTCACCACGTTTCACAGGATTTCCCCCCACATACGCCTCTGTCACTGACGAAGAAAACGACCACCCGTTACCTCTTCACCCAACTCTAATCACACCCTCCCGGCTTTTTCCCCCTCGACGCTACGCATGTCGGTCTGCTTCCGTCTTGTCGAGCCGGCGGGGCTCTGCTGGGGTTAGCAAGTCGAGTCACACATAATCGATTGCTTACGTCTGTAGACACTGCTGTTTGGTGTGGTATATAAGCCGCCAACTTTACCGCCACAACAACAAACGAGAACTTGTAATATTATTCTTGGTACGGATGTTTTGAAGTAGTAATTTTTTAATGGTGACTTTTATTCGTTGACTTGTTATTGCATCGTTTTTGAAAAAATTTGATTTTATTGTGTAGTGGTAATAGTTTAAAAAAAAACCAATTATTTGTATGGAAGTTAATACGATTATTATTTAGTCTTCGGAGTAGGGTAGAAAACAATCGAAACGACGATATTCATGGAAATTCTTAGAATTGTTGTCGTTGTGATAGAAAGGGTTGCAATTAATATATTTCAGTGGAAACTGTTAAAATAAAATAAAAATTTCCCTTTCGGAAAAGAAATACAATAAACGAAACACTTTTTTTTAAATTGGAACTGTTAAAATCATTACTAGGCTTTCACTTTAAAATAATACAAACGATACGTTAATTGTTAACTAGAATTGTTAGATCAAGTGTGTTTGTTATAATATAATTATGGGGAAGGGGTATATTTTTGGGTGAGAATTACTGACATTCTCTTTAGTGTTAAAAGCAAAACAGACGAAATTATTGTATTTAAATTTTTTTTTATTTTTTTTTTTAGGCATCATGTTAAAAAGTTTTTATAAAACGCCAAAGCGTTGTGAATACAAAGGGTTAAAGTAAGTAATGATGACACAATTTATGAGAAGTTATCATCATCATCATCATCATATACCACTTCTGCCGTTAAGCGCTGTGCGGAGGAATAATTTGCGATCCAGTGCACGCTGGCTGCCACTGGCTATTGTCATGCCTTGAAGGCGTAGAGTGTCTTTAATGTTGTCGATCCATTTTTCCGCGGCCGTCCTCTTGCTCTTGTAGTTGATCTTATGAGATGTAGTGCTTGTGATGGTATTTGACTTTGCTGCATTCTAACGAGATGGCCAAACCTCTTGATCTGCTGTTTCTCGATGAATCTTGTACAAGGTGTCGTTCCCACAATTTGCCTGATAGTTTCATTATTCACTCTATCTCGTATGGTTAGGTTGGCTGCTTTTCTCAGGCACCTCATCTCGCAGGTGGTAATTTTGCGTATATGGGCTTTAGATAGTGTCCATGTTTGGCACTGGTAGCTTAATGTTGGAATGAATATGCTATTAATAATCTGTCTCTTTGCACTCATAGTTATGCTTGGATGTCTTAATAATGGTGACAATTGGTATATAAGTGCACTTACTTTCTGACATCTGGTTTCTATTTCTCTGTCAATTCTACCATCTTCTGTGATCATCCTTCCTAGATATTTAAACTCCCTAACTTGATTCAGGGCAGAACCATTCAGCTGTATGTGTACTGGGGCAGGGTTCTACTAACTTGCATTGTTTCGGTTTTGCTTACATTGATCTTCATGTTGTATTTACTACATGCTTAGTTTAACCTGTTAATGTGGTCTTGCAGTCTATGTTCTTCCGGTTAGAACAAGCACTAGTCGTCAGCAAATAGTAGTTCGTTTAATGTTGGTGAATCGATTGCTTCTCCTGATGTGTGTACTTCCTCGTGATTATAAAGGTCTATGTTGCCTGTATCATAACTTGCTTTTTTAGATATTCTGTCTATATAGATGTTAAATAAAAGTGGGGAGAGCACACATCCTTGTCTCACACCTGTGTTGACTGTGAACATATCTGATATGCCTTCTTATGTTTTTACTGCACTTTGGCTTGTGTGGTACATTATGAGAAGTATAAACGTATACAGTGAGTTTCCGCAGTATGAAGCAGATTAACAAAACAAAATTTTAGTATACTAATTGTTAAAATATGTAACTCTTTTCTACACATGTAAACGAAACCAAACAAAAATAAATCACGCTGCTTGTGTCTTTAATTACTGTAAAAACAAAAATAAATTTCTATTTTTTAAATGAGATTATCTCGATATAATCGAGAAGAATCAATTAATATATAGCAGTCCTAGGTCTGTTATATAAAGTATATAGTGTACTGTATAGTATGTTTTTAATTGTTCAGTGTGTTTTTGAAGGTCTCACTACATTTCTTTTTACGTACAACAAATTTGCGAAACGAAGTAATGACGTCATCAAAAAATGTACTCCACGGTCAAAGGTGAATTAAGTAACAGAAAGTATTGTGAACGGCACTCATATCAAAGGTGAAGCAGTATGCAGTGAATGACTGTCGTCTGCTGGAGTAATTCTGTGCACTCGAAGCAGAATTGTGTGATCAGTGGAAGCAATCAGAATTACCAATAACAAAATAACAACAAATATGTTTGCAGAAGTTGTTTGACAATATGACGAGAAGTGTATAATCAAGCCTGTCATAGACATTTCCAAGATATGGTGAGATGAATATTTCATTGGTAATTTCCGGCTTCCCTGAAACAGAATTAGACCATGGCATTAACCATTACTGAGAGAATGTCAAATGGCAGAGAAGTTCAAAACTGTATAGACAAGCTAGATGAACTGCCGCAGACCACGAGGCAGACCAAGAAGACCATGGAGAGATAATGTCCAAACAACCTGCAAACACTTGGTGTCACCAACAGGAAAGAAAAGACTCGCCAGAGAGATGAATGGAGGTGGGTGATAACTGAAACAATGAACCTCAAGGGCTGCTGAAGAAGAAGAAGAAGAAGAAAAATAACCATTGTAGCTAATGACTTTTTAAGCACATTTTTGATGACGTCTTGTACTTTTTTTTTAACGTTTTCTGTATACAAAATGTGGAGAGACTTTACAAACACGCTGAATAAACTGTGGAATATTTAACAGATAAGTAGACAAAGTAATCTGTGTATATCGACAATTTAATTGAATGCCTGCTCAAAATATATGGGCTAACTGTAAAGAGAAGTGCCACACATACTAAAAACTGTATAGACAAACATCGTCATCATCATTATGTAGCAGTTCCTTTACAGAACGTCGCTCTCATCACGGTCTGCCTGAAAGAAACTCAGTCCCTCGCCAGCTCTCCCGTCTCATGTATTTCATACTCAAGGAGTCACTTATATCCTTTGCCCATCTTCGTATTGGTCGACCCCTGCCCCTCCTTCCTAGTACCATAGCTTCTGCTAATATTTTTTTTCCATTCCGTCATAGCGTTTGATAAAATATCCAAAATATCTCAGCTTGCTCCTAAAACTTTAACTTTGATTTCCTCGGTAGTGCTTTACCATAGACTTGTAATGCTGTTTCATTGTGTATTATGACCATTCCCTCTTTTGACTTCTGTCGACAGTCTTCATTGTCTCCATATCTCTATAAATGTCAGTAATTTTCGCATCTTTTTAAAGATAGTTTTAGCCATTCTCATAATCATCATCATCATCATCACTTGGGCCGTAAAGGGTCGTGTAGAATAATTTGCTATCTAGTGTATGCTGGCTGCTATTGGCTATTACCATACCCTGAAGGCGAAGAATGTCTTTAATGTTGTCGATCTATTTTTCCGCAGATGTCCTCTTGATTTGTAGCTGATATTCTGAGATGTAGTGCTTGATATTGTATTTGATCTTGCTGCATTCTAACGAGGTGGCCAAACCGCTTGGTCTGCTGTTTCTTGATGAATCTAGTACAAGGTGTCGTTCCCACAATTTGTCTGACAATGTCATTATTCCCTCGATCCCATTATGTAAATGGTAGAGTGCACTAACATTCACATTGTTTATTTAACTAGAAGGAAATCCATTAAACCAACCATATAAATGTATATTATACAGAGAACTCCAGCGCACACTGTATATGTTAACTGTATGAAAATTTGACTAGATAAATAAAATATCAGTGCATCATTAAACTGCCAAATAAATTGTGTAGTGTTTGAGATATGTACAATGGTGAATTAAATGCAGAACAGAACGATAACAAAAAACCAACATATTAGTTTATCCTTAAACAGTCAAACCAAATGAGTGGTGCGTAAAAACATGTAGAATTGTAAACTAAAGCGAGAATTGAACCACTCCAAATCAACAGCCTATCATTTTATCTTTAAACTGTCAAAAAAACTATTCAGTCTATTAAGACATTTAGAATAGTGAACTAAATCAAGATCAGAACCATACGGACAGGAGCCAAGGGCGTTCTTACCTCAGACTGGTTGATTTCTAGGATGCCTTCGTTGTGTACATTTCGCCCAGTACAGAATCAGTGTATGAAGTCAGTGTTTTCGCGAATTAGTGATGTGTTAGGGACCATGAAAACGGAGCCACTTTTACTGACGGTTGCCACGGCTGCAGGGTCACACAGTTCTAATTACGATTGCAGCGCCGGCTTTGATGTCTACACTTGTAAGTTGACATAGATTGTGTTGTATGCAGAGACATAGCTGTGGATATGAACAGACATAGTGTCTGTCTGTCTGTCTGTCTGTCTGTCTGTCCGTCCGTCCGTCCGTCCGTCCGTCCGTCCGTCCGTCTGTCTGTCCGTCTGTCCGTCCGTCCGTCCGTCCGTCCGTCTGTCTGTCTGTCCGTCTGTCTGTCTGTCTGTCTGTCTGTCTGTCTGTCTGTCTGTCTGTCTGTCTGTCTGTCTGTCTGTCTGTCTGTCTGTCTGTCTGTCTGTCTGTCTGTCTGTCCTGTCCGTCCGTCCGTCCGTCCGTCCGTCCGTCCGTCCGTCCGTCCGTCCGTCCGTCCGTCCGTCCGTCCGTCCGTCCGTCCGTCCGTCCGTCCGTCCGTCCGTCTGTCCGTCCGTCCATCCATCGGTCAGCCGCCTGTCCGTCTGTCAGTCAGTCTTAGTAACTACTATAACTGCAAACCAATCCCTCTTCTTTCCATCTCTTATGGTCACAATAAACTGTTCTTTTTGTATCTCCAAAACTTACATCGCTCTCTTCCCTCCTCCCTTATGCCTCCTAACCCATCCTGCCTTGGTCCTCACGCACTCTTCCTCTTCCCTTCTTCTGCACCTCTCATCCTCTGCCATCCTATCCTCCTCGTCCACCCTGTCCGCCTCTTCTTCAATCATCCTTCCACACCCCACCTCCTCCACCTCCACCCTTAACCATCCTCCTCACTCTGATCAAGGTCGGCTTCAGTATTGAAGACACCCTTGCTTATATCTGCTCTTTCCTCCTCTCTCAACCCTCCTGTCGCAACCCTCTTCTCTCAACTATCCTGTCTCAACCCTCCTCTCTCAACCCTCTTCTCTCAACCCTCTTCTCTCAACCCTCCTGCCTCAGTCATTTTCTCTCAAGCCTCCTGTCTCAGCCCTCTTTTCTCAACCCTCCTGTCGCAACCCTCTTCTCTCAAACCTCCTGTCTCAACCCTCCTCTCTCAACACTCCTCTCTCAACCCTCCTCTGTAAACCCTCGTCTCTCAACCCCCCTCTGTAAACCCTCGTCTCTCAACCCCCCTCTGTAAACCCTCGTCTCTCAACCCTCCTCTTCCCTTCCATCACTTTCATTTACTATACTTAGTTTTATTACTGTTTGGAAATGGATGTATAAGTAGATCATATGTCACTAATTATGACTAAGAAGTAGATGTTCCTCGTGTTTGTTACTTTAACGCTAACTGATGAATTAACGAGTAGCAGTTACAGACATCAGGCTCTAGTGCTGGAGGCCCAGGTTCGACCCCCTGTAAGGTGATAGAGATTTAATTTTATGTCGGGGGCAAAAATGTTCTCACCCTCACTGTTCACAAATACACGGAAAGTAGTTGCAGATGAATGGATAGAACAAAGTATGTAAGAAGTGAGGCCAAAGGGACATAATTTAATACGGGCATATGTAAAGAGTGAGGCCAAAGGGACATAATTTAATACGGGCTTGCCTGCCCAATTCTCAACCGAGTCTGTCGTTTGTTCTCTGCACTCACTCCAGACACAGAGCGTAGCCTTGAATCCAGTCTTATCGCTCAACCCGTGACATCAGCACCTAGGAATGTTTCTAGGTGACCTCATACCATGAAACTAACATACAACATACGATGTTTGGGGCATTCACATATTTTCTTCTTCTTCTTCTTTTGTCTTTCAATGTTTGTGGAGTCGTCATTATTATCGCTTTCTTCCTATTTCTTTTAAATTATTGTTCTTCTTTCTTCTTCTTCTCCCCTCCTTCTGCTTCTTCTTCTTCTTCTTTGTTTTTTTTCTACACCTTCTTCTTCTTGTTCTTCTTCTACACCTTCTTCTTCTTTTCTTCTTCTTCTTTTTCTTCTCCCATGCCTTTTCCTTCTTTTTTTTTTCCTTCTTCTACACATTTTTTTTTTCTTTTTCTTCTTTTTTTTTCTACACCTTCTTCTTCTTCTTCTTCTTCTTCTTCTTCTTCTTCTTCTTCTTCTTCTTTTTCTTCTTCTTCTTCTTAGTGTCCACCCCCTATACACTCTGACGACAGTTCTGGCTGTTCGTTCGATTTGTGTGTGTACATCTGTTTTTTGCATATTTGTAGACTGCTGGTTAACAACCTCACAGCAGATTTACTTTGACTTCAAACGAAACACCCTTCATTAGGCGCATTTCGCGACATGCTTGCCGGGTGTTGTATGTCTGTTCTCTCTCTCTCTCTCTCTCTCTCTCTCTCTCTCTCTCTCTCTCTCTCTCTCTCTCTCTCTCTCTCTCTCTCTCTCTCTCTCTTTAACTTTACGCTCAGAGGAGAGGCAAAACGCCAAATTGGTCAAACTGTTACTGTTATCGCTTGAACTCTTCTCTGGTTGCTGAAGATGAGGACAAAGCACTTATGGGAATGTCCCGAATTTTGCGATGTTGATTTAATACTCAGTCTTGGTTGTACTTTTCTCCTTTCTTTCGCACTGAATTTTGTGCGTAAGAAATAGATCTATATTCTCGAACACTCGATAATTTGCGTTTTCAAATCTTATGTCATCCTTAAAGAAATTCCCCATTACCATCCCGTCCTTGAAAATCAAAGCAGACGTCAGCGGGGGAATTTCCCGAGCTGTCTTTGGTTGATGAGTTGGATCGATACCTGACTACTGCATCCAAATATGTAGCAGTGAGTAATTGCATCGATCCAGGGTTTTACAGTCACTCCTAAAAATTGTAAATTGTTCTTCTTCTTCTTCTTCTTTCTTTTGTCGTCTCACTGATACCAGTGTCGTGGTTTTCTGTATTGGTCTTGCGTTTCTCGGGTGGCGTGGATGCTGGATTTGTTCATCCTTTTGTAGGTTTCAGCGACACCATTTATCCATGTCTTCCTTGGTCTTCCTCTCGCCTTCCTCCCAGATGATTTTCTGTGAAAGGTCTCATGCGCAGTTTGGTCTAGCTGCATTCTCACTAGATGGCTGAACCATTTTATTCTTTTTCTGTCAATATAATCCAGACATGGTCTTATTCCGACTTTCTCTTTAATGCTGGTATTCGTAACCCTGTCTCATCTCATGTTGTTAGTGACCTCGCAGAGACGGGGCATTTCACATGTGGTTATTTTCTCTTCTAGTGTCTAATTCATTGTCCATGTTTGGCACTGATAATAAAGACGCTATTAATTACTTGTTCGTTTTGCTGCAAGGGAGATATTTGCCAGTGAGGCTAACTGTTAGGTGACAGCATTCGCCTTGTGTGCTCTGTATCTTGTTTTTATTGATACGCATACATAGCTATCTCAGCGGAGTATATGTTATAAGTAGACATTTCGAATGTGGGTTTTGACTCTCTGGGTTTTCTAGGTTTAGTCAGTCTGCTGGTATACCTTTTCAAAAAGAGAATAGGAATGGCTAAAACTGTCTTCAATAAGATGCGCAAGTTACTGACAGCTAGAGAGATAAACACCACACTAAACCAGCCATGTGGGTGAGATGGTTTGGTGATCTGAAGAGAATGCGCTGGAACCTAACTGCCACAAAGAGCCACTGTTAACAAATATCAAGTCCCCGTGTGGGTTCCGGGGCGCTATTTTTTTGAAAAAAGGAATAGACCCTCTGCCAACCCAAAAGCATGTCGTAAGAGTCGACTAATTGGGGGCTTCCTTCGAAGTCGGAGTGCATCTGCCTGAGAGGCAAGGAACCAGCAGTCTGCATTCAAATGAGTCAGATCTGTCGAACGGATGTACACGCAACACTCAGTTTCAGGTGAACGTGGAACAGGACTGTAGTACAAAAGTGGATGAACAACCAGAACTTTCCGCCAGAGTTTACAGCTGGTGAACGTGAAGAAGAAGAAGAAGAACACAAATCAAGAACACAGAGCAGCAGGAGAAGGAGAAGGAGAAGGAGAAGGAAAACAATGGAGAAGGACACAAATCAAGGACCGAGCAGTGGCATTAAGGACAGACTTAGAGAATTATTCAACACATTGTAAAGAGCACATAGGCCCCCTTTTCAGCGCTTTTAGACATATTGGACATAGAGGGCTAGACATATATTTTATAGATTAATCGACACTGGGCGGAGGATGTGGTTAGCATTACGCCAGCCGCCTTTACTTCCCATGACTGTATCTAATTCCCATTCAAGGATGGGTTGACAAGAGGGCTAGGGTCATTTTTGAAAAAAAGTCCGGCTCAGTCAAAACCCAAACCCACGACCTCCCTATCCGCAGGCGAGCGTCTAGCCGCTACACCACGGCGGAAAGAGCACAAAGAAGACTCGCAAATCTCTCCCAACACTTCGATGCGATAGCTGAACCAGGAGGAAAGGAAAAAGAAGATAAAGGGGCCATCTGCTAAACTCAGGTTTGAGTATGACTGAATTTTAAAAATACATTGCACAACTCACCGCCTGTCATATTGTGCAATTGTCTCGTCAAACGCATTGCTACAGAGTTAAATCAACATTTAATGATGTATTGTCACACTCAACAGGCGATGTAGAGAAGAGAATCCTGTTGCTGTTAATGCAGAGGTCAACGCTCTCATCGGTGAAAATTCAGACGAAGCAGATGCAATAATCTATACAGACGGATCCGTTATACGCCAAAGAAGAAGCGCATGGGCATTTACAGCACGCTCAGCGGGCAGAACAGTCAAAGAAGCCAACGGCGCCTTCTCCATGACAACCAGCAGCATGACGATGGAGGTGATGGCAGTGACGCAAGCGCTTGCCTGGCTTGAAACACAAAAATACACCCGCGTGTGTATACTCAGTGATTCAATGAGTATGATCCGGAGGGTTCAGACAGGTTCGGTGCGAAGACAATGGCTTGAATTATTACAGAAGTCCACTGTGCGTGGAGTCACCTTTATTTTTGTTCCGGGACACGCAGGCGTCGATGGAAATGAAAGAGCTGACAGTTTGGCTCGATCCGCTATCACTACCGACGGTCAGCCTATGGATCATGCTGATATTATCAATGCCCTCAGAGAAATGGGAAGGATAGAGGACTTTGGTGGCAGTGAATCCACATCACTCGCCAGAATGGCAAACTTGAGAATTAAGATCGGCACAGCAAAAAACGAGACGCACACCAGACACGCCAGAAGACTTGTTAATCAACATAGAACTGGTACTATTAGCCATCGGACGTTGGGGTTCATACTGAGGGGAGGATCTGAGCACCTATGGACATGTCCGGAGTGCAATGAGGATAACCCAACTAACTAACTACTAACTAACTAACTAACTAATAATTAATGATGCATAAAAATGAATCCTTCTTGCTGAAAACCACATTGTGTTTTGAGATTCCACCGGAAACTCAAGATCAGCCACGATATTAACGTGGTAACCTCAAATTTATCAGGTGGTGTTTTGTCAGAACAGCAACAGAAGAAGAAGAAGAAGAAGAAGAAGAAGAAGAAGAAGAAGAAGAAGGATGGGGAGAAGGAGGAGGAGGAGCAGCGGCAGCAGCTGGAGAAGAAGAGGAAGAAGAAAAAGAAGAAGAAGAAGAAGAAGAAGAAGAAGAAGAAGAAGAAGAAGAAGAAGAAGAAGAAGAAGAAGAAGAAGAAGAAGAAGAAGAAGAAGAATGAGGGTGACCATAGAAGTAAACGACGATGAGGAATAAGATCAATGACCTTTTTATGATATTTCATGATAACTTCACTTCTGGAACCAACTAAACAATAAAAACGAGACGTCACTGATATGTTCCCTGCAGTTCAAAAACGAACAGCTTTCGTTCTCATACATCGGTTGCACTTTTGTTTCTGCTCTCACTGCTGACGTTAGTGGCAAATTGTTGCTTTCGCCCCAAAAGAGTTCACGGGTATGTAATAATCATCGCCAACACCACGTGTCTGGCTGCCTGGCGTAGGCGATCAGGTTTCTCTATAACTCAGGATCTCTACCAGTATCTATGAGTACGCCTGCTGGTACTTTCCATGCCCTGACAAAATACCGCCTAGAATCGTCCAGGCGCGCAGCCATAGAGTTAGAACTCTGGTGGGGGATGGGGTGCTTATGTCGTTTTTAAGTGTGCAGTAATAAGTTAATAATAACAATAAAAGTAAAGGACCATTTTACACGCCTTTCGTGCGTATTAGGTATATAGGGCTAGACCTATATTTTATAGACCAACGGCACAAGATGGGTGATGTTGCCTTTACTTCCCAGGACTGCACCTGGTACCCACTTATGGCTGGGTCGACCTTAGAGCCAAGGTCATTTTTGAAAAACGTCAGGCTCCTCCAGGGAGCGAAACCATGACCTTCCGATCCGCGGCCGAGTCGCCCAATAATTACAATACCTACCAAAAACAATAATTATTGGTGAAAAAATGATTTTTATTGCTCAGTTAAAGAAAGTTTAAGCTTTTAAACACCCCCACCTCCTTTCTTCAGAAAATGTTTAGGGACTCTCTTGGTATAAGGCTTTCTTTCTTTTTATATCTTTGTTTTAATTATGTTTTTTCGACGAATCAACATGATGACACACAGGTGTAACCATGTGCTGCATTCTACTTCTAACTCAAGCCTGAGTCTGAAGAACTTCAGCGCAGTGCACGAACTCGGTTGAACCGGCGATGATCCTGAAACACTTAGGGTAGATTTTTAACTTCTTATTTTACCCGTTAGGTTATTTTTTTCGATTTCCAACTGCCAAGGGATTTTTTACGTGTGCAACAATGCACACGGGCGCCCGTGTGCATTGTTGCGCACGTAGAAAAATCGAAAGATATTAAGAAAATTTTAAGATAAATAAATAAAATATTAGGAAATATATATTTCTTTTAAAAAAAAAACTCGATAACAATTGTTACCACCAACCGGCCACGCCAGCCTCACAAAAACGGGAGTACCCTTTCACCTGTATGGTCTTATATCTGGAGCTGGTTTTGGTTCGTTTCACCGATGCGTCGTTTGTTTCACGAGTGTAGTTTTAAACGGAAATTCTTGGGGATTTTCGCTTTAACTACGGAGTTCGTACTCTGTGCAACACTCTCGGCATGCGGCTAGGTGTTATGGAGAGAAAGGCCAAACCAAATCCCGGGGCACTATAGTAGATGCCCTCGACTTTAACTTATGGTCTGTCTTATTTAAACGACCTCGTCTTGGTCTGTATTTTCCCCTTTTTTAAGTTGAATTAAGAATCGACATCACAGCACTCAGGACACCCCCCTAAGTGCTCTCCCCCCTAAGTGCTCTATCCCTATCTTCAGCAGCAAGCGAAGTGTTTTAATTCCGATGGCACCAGTAACTGTCTGATCCCATTTCTTTCTTTGTTCTTCTACCGTCTCGGTTATTGCGTTATAATGGGAGTTTGTATGTGTTCTCCGATGAGACATGGTATACTTTCCCAAACGCCTGTCAGTTCATAAGATGGTGTTTCGGAAAAACCTGCACCTTTATCCTTTCACTCTCCTTGTAAAAACAAAGAATCTGCCGCTTTGTCGTTTACCGACATGGCAGAATGACATTTGGAATGCAGTGTGGTCACATCTCTGGCCATATTTGAAAAAGTGCCACTGTGCACGCGTGTAGATTTTCCTCCTGCCAACGTGCAGACAAACAGTTCAACCATTGTCGGTTTGTGGTTTCTCTAGGAAATAGAAGAAGATCGGGGGTAGATAGTATACAGAGGTTTATTGTGGGCAGAGGTTTATTTTTAAAATCGTGTCAGAGGTCGTTGATATCAGCGAGGGGGAAAACCCCGAAGTACAGATCGGATCGCGTTGGTTTTTTTCTTTTCCATTTGTTCTTTACATCCCTGCTGCGAAGCATGATCATGCTTTCGCCACAAATAACTATTAGTTTTGTGTATGCATGTATGTATGTGTGTGTTATATTCGGAATTTTTACATTTTCTTTAAAAAAAAAATATTCATGGGATTCCTTTCACATTTTGGTACATCCAGTGGAATCTCTTTACCATGAACAAATAGCAGCAGTCAGAGTAGCTGGGGAAACAACAGGCTGGTTTGAGGTGCACAGGGAAGGTGGACAGGATTGCTTTCTCTCTCCGTCCCCTTTCAACATAGATGCTGAAAATATTATCAAAATACAATTAGTGATTACATGTGTGCCGTTGCGAGTACGAATTTCTGCACAGGACCTGTTGACTTAAGGTGGGGGTGGGGGATGTTCTATGCTTCCATTACTTAGATGCTGGAAGCCGTTGTGGTCTAGCTGCTAGACGCTCGCCTGTGGATTGGAAGGTCGTGGGTTCGGATCCTGACGGGGACCAGACTTTTTTCAAAAACGACTTTGGCTCCCAAATCGACCCAGCCTTGAGTTGGTACCAGGTGAAGTCCTGAGAAGTAAAGGCTGCCGGTATGTGATGCTGACCACATCACCAACCAAGTGTCATTTGGTCTATACAGCATAGGTCTAGCCCTATGTACCCAGTACGCCTGAAAGGCGTGGGAGAGGATCCTCTACTTTACTTTTGTTTACTTGGATGCTGAGAACATCTCGATTTGTACCTGTTTAGTGCTCGCCCATAAGGTGCTGCTCCTACAGTCTGCAATCCTGAAAGGGAAGTGGGGAGAGATGTTAGCAATATTGTAATTGCATCTTCAGATGTACCTCTTCTGAGCGTTCACCGGCTGTAAACTCCGGCAGAAAGTTCTAGTTGTTAGTCCGCTTCTCGACTTAAGTCTGGTTTCAGGACGTGAGTTTTGCGTGCACATCCGTTTCACAGATCTTGATTATTTGTACGCAGACTGATGGCTCGTCGCCTCTCAGGCAGATTCACTTCTATTTGGAAGTCAACTTTTACGGCATGATTGTAAGAGGGAGTCGGCGTCTGTGGCTTGGGCGTTGCGAACGCGCTTCGTAATGCCGGTGTGCCGGGTTCGATCCCAGCTGAGGGCCTTGTGTCTTGCGTTGGTTTCGACAGTGTTATCGAGAAGCCGACCATCCAGACAGCAATGGCAAACTAATGGACGTAAATTGGCCTAGAAAAACCCTAACAGCCAAAAAATACTGGAGTTGGTTCGGTAACCTCCTGTAAAGGATACGCAGCTCAACTTTTTTTTTTTTCACAATGAGTCTGTTCTTTGTTCTTCAACATGCACTCATTTATTCATTGATTGCATTATTTATTCATTGATTGTATTTATTGATTGATTGTATTATTTATTCAGTGATTGTATTTATTCATTGATTGTATTTATTCATTGATTGTATTTATTCATTGATTGTATTTATTTATTAATTGTATTTATTTTTAGATTGTATGTATTCGTTAAACAGATAAACAACAAGAACTGGATATCCCGACCCTGAAAGTTGATCACGCAGAAGAATGTGCCAAAGAGAAAGCCGCTGAGAAAAACAGACCCATGTGCCAGATTTCTGGCCTGAGGAAACTTAAACATGCAAACAGCTTCACTGGTATTGTTCCGACCTACGGGGTAGACACACCACACAAGGAAGACCTCGGCAAGGTACAACTGGCAAATTTGTTTATCTGATGTGTTGTGAAATTAAGAAATTGCTACTGTATGCGGTGTTCTCATGTCCACCCAGCGTAAAGGTCGTATCGGAAAATTTGTTTAAAAGTAAAGGCGGCCGGTGTGGTTTCGACCACATTAACAGATGAGATGGTTTGGTCATCTGTCGAGAATGATGGGGTACCGATTAGAGCGTTACGCTGAAAAACAAAATGTAATGACCACAGAACAAATGGAACACCACGCAGACGATACAAGGACATCGTCAAGAAGCGGCGGAAAGAAATGTAAAAACAAAAAAACTTATAAACTACATTAGAAAATTGCGCACAGAATATGTCCCCACCAGCACACACACACACACACACACACACACACACACACACACACACACACACACACACACACACACACACAATTTCAGTGAAATAATTGGAGGAAGAAGACAAAGAGGTGGAGGAGGAGAAGGAAGAAGAGGAAGGAGGAGTAGGCGGATGATAAAGAAGAAGTAGAAGCAGAAGAAGAAGAAGAAGAAGAAGAAGAAGAAGAAGAAGAAGAAGAAGAAGAAGAAGAAGAAGAAGAAGAAGAAGAAGAAGAAGAAGAAGAAGAAGAAGAAGAAGAAGAAGAAGAAGAAGAAGAAGAAGAAGAAGAAGAAGAAGAAGAAGAAGAAGAAGAAGAAGAAGAAGAAGAAGAAGAAGAAGAAGAAGAAGAAGAAGAAGAAGAAGAAGAAGAAGAAGAAGAAAAGAAGAAAAAGAAAAGAAAAAAGAAAAAAGAAAAAGAAAAAGAAGAAGAAGAAGAAGAAGAAGAAGAAGAAGAAGAAGAAGAAGAAGAAGAAGAAGAAGAAGAAGAAGAAGAAGAAGAAGAAAAAGAAGAAGAAAAGAAGAAAAAGAAGAAGAAGACTTTATAGCATCATCTTTTCTTTGTATGGTTTTAGAGTATTACTGAAATGCTCGATGTGTATTTGTATTTTCGGTTTTTTTTTTTTTTACCCCTTTTCTTCGTTTTTTTTTTTTTTTTTTAATCCCAACCTCAGATAGAAGAATAGACAGAGAAATCAACAAACAATGTGTGAAAGCAAATCAAGTTATTAGACAATTAACACCGCTACTGACGCATAGAAAGATACCTATGTCAACCAAAGCAAATCTCATAAGTACGGTTTTGTGGCCGACATTGTGCTACCAGTGCTAAACATAGACCCTTGCTACAACTAACAAGCGGAAGATGGTAACAACAGAGTTGAGATGTTTTAGGAGAGCTGCTGAAGTGACAAGCAGAGACAAAATCAAGAATTAAGAAATTAGAAGAAGACGAGGACTGGCACCAGTCATACAATTCATCAAAGAACAACAAATAAGATAGTTTGGCCAGCTGACGAGAATGCTCTAGTACCAACTGCCACAGAGAGAGCCACGCTGAAAAAAAAAAATAATGAACACAGAGCAAGGGGAAGACCACGCATCAAATGGAGCGACATCATCGGGAGCAGCCAAACAAATGGACACCACCTTGTACAGTGCATTGCAAAAAGCACACAAACGATCTTTACATCTTCCCCAACACCTCGCTGGGGTAAATAGTGGAAGAGAAAAACAAGAAGTTTTGCCTTTCAAGATCTACATTTTTGTAGAATTTACATCTCAAGGATGAGAATCAAACAAGTACAAATCCGGAAACCGCATTCAACCGTATAGCCATATAGCACACTTATATTCGGACATATAAACGGTAGGAGTCGCCTTGATGTAGCAGCTAGATTCTCGCCTGTGGATAGAAAAATCGTGGGTTCAAATCCTGGCGGAGCTTTCCTTTTTTTTTTTTTTTTTTTAAATGACTTTGGCTCTCAGGTCGACTCAGCCTTTAGTGGGTACCAGGTGCCGTCCTAGGAAATAAAGGGGGTCGACGTGGGTGAGCACATCACCCACCAAGTGCCAATTTGTCTATAAAATATAGGTCTAGCCATATACGCTCAATACGCATGAAATCGTGGAAAAGGGTCAACTACGTCCCTTTACTTACCATCAAACGGTTACTATGTAACATATAGTCTATTGTGTGTTTGTTGTGATTGTTTATCCCGGTGTATTTCTCAATTAGATACTCAACGACGTCAACAAGTGGGGGGTGGACATGTTCAAGATCTATGAATACTCAAATAACAGACCTTTGACCTGTGTGACGTATACCATTTTTCAGGTATGTATTCTCTCATCATTTGGCTTCTTGTTGCTAATGTGTGTTTACACTTGGTGAAACGTCTCGTTGATGTTGTTGTTCTTGTTGTTATTATAATTATTATTGTTGTTAATTTATTATCCCCGACGCTTTCTCTTGCTCTGCGGCATTCGTGGCTTAGGCGTTGCGAGTTCAACTCGTAATTCCAATGTACCGTGATCGAAACCCACTGCTGGCTGCGTGGATTTTTATCATGGTATGGGGCGTCGCAGGGCGACCGATTCTAAAATGGGTACCAGGATGGCTGTCCTGGGGAAGTAAAGACGGCTGGCTTAATGCTGACGACATAACCCACCTAGTGTCGATTGGTCTGTAAAAATATGGGATGCTCTTTCCTTATGCCCGATGCGCCTAAAGGCGCGAAAAGGGATCTTTACTTCACTTTTTACTTTTTCTGTTGCTCTAGTTTCCTGCAAATCTACTTATTTTCCTGTTCTTCTTTTTCGTCTCATTATTATTTTGGGTATTATTATTGTTATTATTATTATTATTATTATTATTATTATTATTATTATTATTATTATTACTCAGTCCTCTTCGTCTCCTTCTCTTACTCCCTCTTCTTCTTCTTCTCCTTCTTTTTCTGCTTCTTCTTCTTTTTCTTTTTCTACTACTACTTCTGATTCTTCTTATTAATAACATTATTATTAT